AGGCTCAAAGCAGGCATCTCAGATGTTGGCCATGACTCGAATAGCAGTTTCCTCATCTCTCTGGCACAATATAAAGGCATAAAAATTGTTACCTAATAAAAAAGTTCATATTCTAGCTAGGTATACTTTCTTCTGACTTGGCTGAAAGGTCAAAAATACTGATTAAGTAATATTTAATGAATAAAACCAGAGTTCAGTTAACTATGATTCAACAAGTTGCAAGAGAAGTATAAGGGAATGTGTAAATAAAACTCTGCTTTAGTCTTGAAACAGCTGCAAATTTAAAGAATGTTTACTTTTATGTTATTTTAAAATACGCCTATTTTTAAAAATACTATGACAACAGTTCACTATTTTTCAGTGAACAGACACAATGCCATGTGACTTTTAAGAATAACCACACAATGAATAATGAATGCTGAGTAGTCAAAGGGAACAGTTCATGTGTAGGCCCACAGGTGCCATATTATTTGTTGACAATACTTGAAAAACAGTTTTAGAAATCAAAATCAATACAGAGTTTACTAACTAAAACCAAGAATTATATTATAAAGGATAATGTTTAAAAGTAGTTTGATTTTTCCAGTTCATAAATCTAACTGATCAACAAAATGATTTGGTGGGGTTTAGTGCCAACAGCATCTGTTGTTACCATACAGAAAGCTTCTCTCTCTGCTTGTGCGATGCCGTTGATAGTTCTAAATAAATTAAACCAAATCATTAAAAATTACTAATTGTAAAATAAATTACAAATGTTGTTAAGGAACAAGTATGCACGGGTATATTATAATACTTTTCAAGCTCATGCACTTGCAAACCAACTCTTTGATGATAGTTTCTCTTACTTTCCTGGTATAAAATGAAATGCTCTTATGTAAAAAGACGACACACATTTCATCAAAGTCAACCATCTTAATGCTGACCAACATATAACGAAACATTATTCTCAATCACACCAAATGAATGCTTCTGAAATGTTTTTGAAAAATACTCTTCTGGAAATAGTTTTCAAAAATAATATTGAATTTTTTCTTATGTTAATCTGTGCCTGTACACTTCTACCAAAAATAGTCACAACTTGCACCATCACATTTCATTTGTGACATTCTCAAACTACACCCATTCCAAGCTCCTTGAACAACAGAAACCTGTTCAGTGGATCAGCTGGTATGTTTGAAGTATCTTCCACTTACGCCCTATCCATCTTGTTCTTAAATTCAAAGTAACTAAATTCATACAATAAACATCAATCTAGTAAAGGGTGATCTGTCTCTTCCTAGGTATCATGTGCATACTCCTACTGTTTCTAATCGAACTCCGCCAATTCATGTTCTCACATCTAATTTTGCCTCATCTCTGTGTTTCATCTTGCTTTTTAAACTCTAAGGTTTTCTAGCCACGATACTATAATTCTCTATACATTCATACAACATACCACACATGATCTTGATACAGTCAGCCTCTTGCCATTGTCACCTCCATCATATCAACAATAAACAATGATAACAGTAAGAATGCATGGGACAAAACATGCCCACATTTTGTTAAAATACAGTTTTATTAGTCTTGATAGTGATTTTGACCATGATTTTCAAAAGCCACTACTAACTTGGGAAATAAATTTGGTGCCTGCCTAGCAGAAAGTACTAAAGTGGTCTGACACCTACCGTGCAAAATTGCTGCGCTAGCTTGGGCAACTAAACTAGTAAAACAAAGGACTGAAGAAACTTCTGTGGTCCATTCCCAAGCACAAGGGAATATCCACTAAAAATGATTACTGACTTTTTAAAATCTTAATCTGCTTTTGGGTTTCCTCATACTGGTTCAGATAAGCAATCATTACAGAACTGTCCAAGCAGATTTACACCTTTGCTCCTAATAACTCCAAAATCCAACAAGGTGTTTCTACAACATTTGATGTCAGCAAGTTATATGAAATTTTCCTAGAGCTTCTTTCTTCAAAACATGACATGTTCTACCTGTATTGGCTCTGTCCTCACTATAGAATGGTGACAGACATTCTCTTGCAGAAAGTCCCAGTGTTACTATGAGATGGAAAAGTGCTAAAGCATGTACCGTCACTCCTCCTTACAAAATCTCTGACTAGCGTTAAGACCAGCTGCACGTTTCAGAAGGAAGAATGTGAAATAGATCCTGGAGATCTGCCTGATCTTCACAGCGACAGAAAGTAAAAAGACTGATGATCAATTACTGGCTATTTATCTGGTGAAAAGTTGAGAGGTTCTGGCCTTTGGAACAGCAACTCACATCCATGGTGAGAAGGAGACGTATTTAGGGAATAAGCTTAATCGCACTGACATGTGGTTACTCTCTTTGGATAAGGGTGACCTAGGGCTGGCAAAAAGCTTCTAAAGTAAACTGGGAGGTATTACAGAAACAGATGCACTACAAACTCAACCTTACATATGGACACCTGAGTGGAGAGAAGAATCGGAGACCATGGAAGCAGGTAAGAGTGGCTGTAAACTCTTGTTTAGAAGAAAGTAATTTGTATAGTTGCTATTGCTTTAAACTGTTCGGGAGGTCTCCACAATTAAAACATTAAAATCATAATGTCTAAGTTTTCAGTGAAACCTGTTATTAAACAGAGTAAGGGAAAAAGAAATAGAAGATGATACTCAACATTATTGGCACTGTTGTCTCTCAGAATCACTGATAAGCCAGGGGTACGGGATCTTGAATGCACACAGATAATATGCGAGCGGATCCCAGGAGGATACACTGTTGATAATATGAGATAAAGCAAACCACCAAACCGTACCAGAGAACTAGGTGATCTGCTCCTTAAGTATGTATTTGTAAAACATGAAAAGTACTACAAAGGATGTCCATCTGAGAGATGTGAGATAGAAATACCATGCAGTCACTAGTAACACATCAGGCAGTCCTAAATTTTTCTTTTTCTAATACCAAAAAGATAACGTTACTCTGGACCTGCATATTCAGTATGTAAAGTTTAGTTAATCACAAGCATTGGCCCAGTAAAAGAGACGAAAAATAAGCACTTGGGAGAAAACAGAGATCAAAGTGTGGAAGGACTCTCTACCCTACTGCCACAAGTGGCCAAAGGCCACTATTAAACAGCCCACAATACACTACCTATGCCAAAAAATCACACTTGAATTCTGGGTTCGGGCTGTAATTAGATTGAAATATGCATCACACATAAAAAACCCCAACCCTCAGCTAGCAATTAATTTAAATAAGAAATTTTGGGCTAAAGAAAACAGACAAGAAAGCAGAGGGCCCCCAACTTCTGATTCATGGTTTAAAAGAATACAAACATGCTATGCAAAAAAAACCCCAAACCAACAGATATTTTCTTCTCTGTAAGAAGAAAAAAAAGTAACTTTACAGATAAGGAGGCCATTAGTAACCAAAGCGAATGTTAAAAGACAACTTTAAATTAGCACACCCAGATAATTTGTGCCTTAAAGTCCTGAAAGTGTTTGCGAGAGTATCATTTCAATGATGCTAATTTTCAATACATTCTGGAACACCAAAGAAATTCAGTAAGACTGGCAGCATTTTCTGCTAATAGTTGAAGATGTTAAGCGGCATGATCTCAGTAATTATAGAGCTCTAAGCCACTATTAATCTCAGGCAAAATAACCAGCAAATTGATCAAGGATAAATTCACTGGGAAATGACAGGAATAAAACTGATGCCAGTCAACACTATTTTGTAGAAACTTGGTCAGTAAAACAAAAACCTTTGATTTAATCATCGGATAAAGTGATGAATAGTGGTCAATGTAAGTTACTCCATAGATGAAACAGACTTCTGAATGGCATTTAGGTTACAGCCACACTACATTCAGAGTCAGAACTTATCAGTATTGTCAAATGATTAAGATGGAGATATAACATAGTAGTTGTTAACAGGAAATAATAATTAAATAAAAGTGCTCTACATTACCCCAATAAAATCATCCAGTACTAGCTCAATGTTATCTAAGAGTACCATCAATGATACAGAAGTAAATATTGTTGATAGCAGTCATGGCACAAAAATTGTCAGATTGGTTAATAAAGGTAGAAGAGTGGTTATTCATAGTAATATGGATTGCTTTGTAAGATGGCAACAGTGTATTACAGCCGAGTGGACTTACGTAGCAAGAAAGATCATGTAGGTACTAACCAGAGAATGGCGCATGGAAGCCAAGGACTTTAAAATAAGAACCAACAAACTAATCTTCATGGCACAGTAACAATTCAATACAAATGCCAGTGAAACCTTACGACAAAAAGGAGTAATGATTCCCTCCCCACAAATAAGTGCGTAAGATCAGAGATACTGGAATAGTGAATACAACTGTATAGCCCATGTATTGTTTTCCCTAGATGGCAAAGATAATTGGGTTCTCTTGATGTTTTCTCCATAATTCACCCAAAAAGTGGAAGAACTCTGCACCTCCTTAAGATGTTAACCAGAATGCCCTATGTGCTATTCTTAGCACAGGAGGGATTTAGAAGGCTCTTGTGTAAAGAGCACAGTGGCAATTTAAAAAGGCTGCAGAGTCCCAGTGAATGTTACACGAACACAGAATCAGTCTCTGGTCCTTTCCAGAAGGGTAAGAGAGCTCCGTCCTGATGTTAGTGACCAGGGAGTACTGACAGTGGTGGAAGTACAGTGGTGAGAAATACCACTGATGTGGTTTAGGGTTATTTCCTAACCTAGCAATTACTTAACACCGAAGACACTAAAATAATTGTTCTTTGCTTTGCTATATTGTGGCTCTTCAATCCATAGCTTAAAAAACAACCCTAAATGAATGCAGACTTTTTGTCAAACGCCTCTATTTAAGAGAGCTGGACTGCCATAGCCTTTGATGACAGCAACAGTAGAAGAGCATCATCACATATATGCCTAGAAAGTAACTGCGTGCGTGGCTTCACCAGGGAAAAACCTGAAAGGCAGTTGGATAGGAAACCGCGTACCCAAGGTAAGCTCTTGTTTGGTGATCACTTTTGGCTTACCTGGTCGTGAGACCCGTGAGCTGCTGAATGCTGCTCCTCGCAGGCTGCTGTCGAGAGTCTGGGGGTTTGAGTTACCATGGAGATCACCGCATCTGACAGCTGAGAGGGCTGCAATGAGAGACAGAGGTACCCATCAAGTCGGCTTCGATCATCTCATCAAAACACAAGCATTTGACTGCTTTTGCTTTTGGCATTCGCCAAGGTACTAGCTCCCAAGTTAGGAGCTTTGGCAGAACCATAAAGGGAAAAAACCCAACACCCATCACAGCAAGAATGAGAGAGGCAAGGGAAAGCCCCAGCAACTCACAGCACTTGAGCGCTTTGCAAAGCCGTGAGCTTTTTCAGGAACCTGGAAGAATCCTAATGCACCCTGAGCTTGGCTCAACAATTTTCAGCCTCTTTGGTCATGTATAACATCAGCAAGTGATTTATCTAGAACCTCTGCTGAGCACAGGACTGAAATGCCAGCATGATGCCCCAGAACAGTGGGGGGGACACACAAAAGTGCTCCCTGAGAAAGCTTCCAGTGGGAACTGATTGAGTGTCACTTCTGTGCAAAAAGAAGTAAGTAGGCCAAAGAAATTACCTTCCTGTATGTTTTTGGAAGAAAGTCTAAAGGAAAGCATTTATGAAAATCAAACATGAAAGATAGCCTGGCATTCCTCTGCAATAATAAACCTGTTTGCAGGCTTTTCCATGCCTGCCATTGAGCATGATGAGTAAAGCCTTATTTCCTATTCCCTCTGCCATCAGACTGCCATGTATCTTGACTAGTTTCCTACTCCTGCCTTTCAAGCCTTAAGTCTTATGATAGTTTTTGTCTATATAATCTAATAATTAAATGCCATAAAGTGAAATGAGATATTCATTGGAGACTTTTAAAATTAATTATACTCTTCCACACAAATGTCTTACAGCTTTTAAAACTATACATTAAGGATCATTTTACGATATAATCAATTTCATAAATAACATATTTAAACATATCATCAGGAGAAGCTTTCATAAATCCAGTTCTAATTCTTAGTCCGCAGTATTACAACATGTTCTCACTTACATCACTGTGAGAGGAGTATGTCATCTAACCAAGTGCAACTGCTCACCTGAAAAAGACTTACACTTATTCTAACCAGAGCTGAATGACTATACAAGGGACAAGAAATGACTATGTAAGCATCACAAATAACAATACATCAGCTAGGAGTCCATAGTTTTTCTGAGTTTGTCTACTGTATGCATATGAACCTCCATCTACCTGGCTACCTCTATAATTACCTACCTAATTCTCAGATGGCATTCTGAGATGACTGTTATCTCTCCATCTTATTTTAGAATTGTCTCCCATCTCATTTTTTTGTGGATCTTATTACATTACTGCAAAATATAATATACTCAAGAAGCATAACTCTGTAAATGTAAAATCTGAAAACCCAACCAACAATTAGAGGATTTTTCTGTTACAACTTCTCCACGTCTTATGGGAAAACTGTTAATAGTATTATACTAAAATTATCACTCTTCAATACTCTGACATTATGCTATGCAACAGTAACTAACACAAACTGAGGCCGTTCTGATGACAAATGCCAGGAAAATGGTTCATCTGTGCTGAAGGCTTCTGCAAGATTCATGGAGTTTAAAGGACACTGTAGAATACCAGATACTCATATTGTAGCACTGTAGATAGAAGTATTGTTATTGAAGAAACTGTATTAATTCTTTTTGTCATAATTATACCCATAAATTGGTTGGGCCATCTTTTCATTTGTTCTGTTTACAAATCTTATATACTGGATCACTGGTAGATTTTATCAGTGACGGGATCGCTTAAAGGCCATTCATCTTCCCAAGTTGTTACAGAACAGGCAGAAGGTACCAGTACAGGCAGCGCTGGTAACACAGGCTGGAAGAGCTAATGGAATACTATAATAAGACTGGTGACTTTACCAGACAACTTTTTTAGCTTTCTACTGAAATGTTCTTTGTGTGAAGACTATAGCCAAATAAATAAATGATTTTCAAGAATGAAGCAAGGAGAAAGAGACAAATTAGAGATTAAAATATATGATTTCTTTATTATTATTTTATTATCCATAAGTGTCAGTGACACTTACAAGTTACATAGATTTCCCTTACAATCCGGTGAGAGCGTACATGTGGATAATAATTTGTCATGCTAGCAGATGCCCCTACCCATAAGGCTTTACTCAAGAATTTCTTAAAATCTGTTTTCATACAGAAATAAATGCTCACATAAGCTTTGAAACAAACAGTATGCAAAAAATGTTTTTTAAACTTTTATTTTTAAATTTTCATTGGTAATATTAACATTACAACCTATCACTACTTACAATAGGATTAAGGTCTCCACAATTTAGAAAGAAATTGAAAGGAAAACACCAGAGATCACAGAATTACAACTGCAGAAGTGATTAGACTGCTGTAGAAAATACAGTAATATGAAATATTTGGAGAGTTCAACTTGTATAGTTTATTAAAAAAAAGACAGATGACCTGATTACAGCACGTAAGTATTTTCATAGGGAGAAAATACTGAGTACCAACCGGGTTGTTAATCTAGCAAAGAAGGGTATACACAAAGCAAATCAGCATCTGGAAGCTGACGTCAAATTCAAATGAGAAATAAAGCACGTGCTTTTCATCACCTGTGGCTAACCATTAGCACAGCTATTAAAGGGAGAAAAAAAAACGAGATTCTCCATTTGTTGATATCAACGTTTAGTGAGACTTTTCTAGAAGATGAATTTTTGTGAAAATGCAAGTTATTGTGTAGTCACATATAAGTTACTGGGTTTCATACAGATAGGCAAATTTTGCAATATGGAGAAAGGGAGATCAGGTGAGGTAGTCCTCCCTTCCTGGTGATAAATTAAGTATATTATGATCTGAAACGATTGCCTAGCTTTGTAACTAAAGCGCTGGATGGTGATGAGCACTGTGTACGCTAAGCACGCATACTTAGTGACACATATGAGCGTATACGCACACATACAGTGAGAGAGTGGGTGTGTGTTCAGGCCATATGTGGAGTCAGAAAATTACAACCATCCTTCCAGAGGTAGGTGGACTATATTCTGCTGCAAATAATACTATGGCTTCTAATTTAAGAAGCCTATTCTTTCCACCATGAGCTGAAAGGACTCGTCACAGGGGAGAGGTAGTGGGACGTCTCTTCACCAGGGTGACTGGGGCCATCAGCGAGACGACCGAAGGTGGGCAACACGAACGCTGCTCCCTGAATCTGTGCCTCCACTCCACAGGCCTACAGCAATGACTAACAGTGCTTCGTGTTATTAACTACTTGTCCCTGTGGGCAGTAAGCTTTCTGGGTGGAAAAAGCTTCCAACCGGTGTATTTCAGTGGCTCAGACAAGCAGTTCCCCACCTCAGCTAAAATCCAGGTGCTGCCGTGTCCCTGCAGCACCACGCTTCCAGCTCCCCCCACCAGCAGCAGCCTCACTCCGGGCACGTAAGTAATGTGGGTTTCTCACAAAAAGGGGAATGAGAGAAGAAAAGGAAGTAAGAACAAGAAACGGCTTAAACATTACACTGAACCACTCTCATAGTTGGCAACCTTAAAAATTTCGTCCCTAAAGCAAAGATAAGGAAAGATATTGGAAGTGTCAATTTTGCTAGCGTTACTGCTGTGGCTGTGCCTTGGGGTGCTAAGCTCCCAGGAAATTTAACTGTGTTTAAATATCAGCCAAAACCAATAATTAAAAAATTGCATTCATTTTCACTGATTGTAAATCTGGTACATATGGTTTGACTTTGGATGTTGCCTTGCTTTTGAAAACACAAAAGTCAGCGAAACAACACAAATACATCCATCGATCTCCTTCTCTCTCAGCGGCTCCGTCGGACGCAACCTCCGTGAAGCAAAACCGTGGAAGAACCTGGCACCAACTCACAGGCAGGCAGTCGATACAAAACCCCCTGCTTATATTAGAAGTGCAAATTTAACTGAAGAATACTAACGTTGCCTTTCACCACTGTCCCCACAGCACCGGTTGGAGACCAGCTGCCTGCCAGGACACGGCAGAGGACAAGCTCGGTGTCAGCACTGAGCTGCACAGCACCATTTACATCGAGAAGTCAATAAAGTGGCATTCACTGGATTTGGTGCTGCCCTTAGTAGGGCACAGATGAAATACTGCATTTATCCACTGCTTCGTATGTAGACTTCCTTTTGCGGGCACCTGCACAACTTTAGGAAACTGAAACTGGGGGACAGATTTATAGGAGGCACTTGAAATTATCAGCTGTGCAGGCAGCTAGGGGTAAGAGCACCTAAATAGTACAGTAGATTTACTCTTGTTTTAAACTCAGAGTAATCAGTCACATCATTTAGGAAAATGTTTTTGTAAATCCTACTAAATTCCTCCAAATAGATTTAGGTACTTAAATATTTTTCCAATCTGATTTACATTTAAATACTATTTCTGCATAGTTTCAACTAAATTGTTTTATTTCTGTTTACTAAACAACATAGATGAGGAGAAACCAAACCAGTGATATTACTATTCTGCTTCATCACATTCCTCATAATGCTGTTCCATAATAAAAAAAACATTAATTGGGTGACTAATTTATTATCCCCCTCTTTTCTGGCTTCTAAAGGCACAGAAAAGTTTAAATGATAAACAGGCCATCTTCAACAGACACTGAACTACAAAAGCATTTTTGAGAAATTTCACTGTGTCTCTGGGAAAGAAATGCACAACATAAATATTTTGGTTTCTTTCAAATTGACAAACAGCTTTAATATTTTCAAACACCCCTGGGGGGATTATACTTGTACTAAACCAGGACTATATGGAAGATTCTAATAGGATATCAATAATTATGCCCCCCTTCTGCAAAAAATAACCTAAAATGTATTTTGTAAAGCAATTCCTAAAAAGTGTACGAATCAGTGAAGAGAACATTCCAACATTTGCAAAATGTCTGCTGATGTGCTGGGTTTCTGTTTTCTTTATGGATTAACACTGCATATAAAAATAATCACAGTGGTATAACCACAGCTGTGGCTACCCCTGGGGCATGACCAGCAATTAGTCTCTACAAGGATCATGGATAACACCACAG